CTGGCAGACCAACTCGTGACTGCTTATTTGTCGATCCAGTTATGGACGGAAAGAGGTGATTCGCTGACTATTACTCTTTTCATTGTTTCTTTGAATTGGAAGAGTTTGAGAAATTGGTAAAATAATGATTTCATCATCAACTAACAATTTCTGTCTGATTACTCCACAGCTTGCTGAAGATATGGAACTTGAATAAGCTAACAGGAGTTCTTGGAATTTTCAACTGTCAAGGAGCAGGAAGTTGGCCCTTAAAAGAAGCTGTGCACGATTTGCCGATCAAACATTCACAAGATTCTTTGATATCAAGCCATGCAAGGCCTAGTGATGTCGAATTCCTCGATGAGATTGTTGGAAAAAATTGGAATGGAGACTCTGCAGTGTATGCATTTAATTCAGGTCAGCTTGCTTTTCATCATCCTAGTCAATTGCCAACTTCCAGGGCAAATATGTGTCTAATGTTTAAGCCAACTAATATTGCAGGAAATCTTTCCATAGTGCCAAAGAACAAAAGGTTTCAAGTGTCTTTGGATGTGCTAAAATGCGAAATATTTACAATCTCTCCAGTCAGGGTTAGTATACTTCTCAAGAGTATTTTTTCCCTGCAATTTTTTACGAACGTGAGCCTAACATTATTGACTTTGTTATTACGTGAAACAGGTATTCAATGAAACCCTTGAATTTGCACCACTTGGTTTAATTGACATGTATAATTCTGGCGGAGCCATTGAAGACATAATGTGGATCTCCAAGGATCTTTCAGGCACATTAAAGATCAGGGTTCGAGGCTGTGGAAGATTTGGAGCTTACTCAAGTACGAAACCAAGTTGTTGCAAGATGGACATAGAAGAGGAGAAATTCTGGTATAATCATGAGAATGGATTATTGATTATAGACCTTCAAGGCGGCTGCAATTTGAGGGACCTTGAAATTGAGTACTAATGTATTTTTGGCTGGATTTGATCTGCATTTCTCAACAGATTAGTTCTGTACAAATTGTAAAGGACCATATTGGCTCATTTCCAAACATAAGAGGCTAAACCATTTTAGTCCACGCCTAAAACATTAGAGACAAAAATTGTAATTTTCTTGTAACTGTATAACTTTTGGGCTGTTCTGATAAAATAGAAAAACCACCGAGCACATATTACATCAAATATTTTTCTTTTGAACATTTTGGTTTTTTCCCCTTTTGTGCTTTTGTTTTTTCAATGAATGTCGTTATTTTGCTTAAAGTAATGCTGAAGTTGCTAATATATTCACTTCCAAGTAGTTTTTTGAAATCCCTTTTCAAATCAATATGTACAGTTATTACGAAACATTCTTGAAATGAAAAGGCACAAGTAGTTGTAGTTTCTTGAAAGAATATTGAATATATGGCATGGATTTAAGTACAACCGTGAACAAAATTTGACAAATGCTCCATAATTTATGGCTATCTAGGCATCTTTCGATGCAGTACCATGCATTGCCCTGCTTGTTAGTTGTTACATCAATTATATTCTTTATCCAGGGTTCCAATGCTTTTTTCTTCAATAATCAGGTAAGGTTATGGATCTACCTGCGACAATGTTAACTGAACTTTTCCCAGATCAGATTTACTAACTGAAACCTCGATCGACAGGATTAGATACCGTAGAAAAACCTCGACATGTTTACAGTTAAAGGAAAAACCATGTTGTCTGGAGTACCTGAAAATATTGTTAGTTCTCCAGCAAGTGGTGAATCAATTTTCAATGGGCCTAGTTCCACAAGCCTGAAATCTCGCCGTGTTTTCAATCTTGGTGTTCTTGAGTGAGTATATTCTGTATTAGTACTTACGGCTACAAGTTGATCAAAAGCAGTGATGTTCTGTGCTTTAGTTTACATAATTTCATGTTCTTTGCAGTGGATACAGATTTTTGTGCAATGTCAGATTCAAAATCTGGTGGATGATACCTAGTTTTGGAAATCAGGTGGTAAGGTTCCTGTGGAAACTCAGGTGCTTCTCTTGGAGGGCACTGAAAAGACTGTCATCCATGATGAAGTTTCTGAGCCATCTTCTAAAGGAACTTTCCATGCTTTGTTCCTACCTGCTCTGGATGGACAATTTAGGACTAGCTTGCAAGGATCTTCTGACAATCAGCTGCAGCTGTGTGTAGAAAGTGCTTAGTTTATGCAGCAAACTGCATAATTGTTTGAGCAACTTTCATACCCTTAATTTTCATTTTTCAAATGCACCTGGGGATCCAAATGTTCAGACCTGTGAAGTCAAGGAAGCACTCTTCATAAATTCAGGGGTGAACCCATGTGAGCTGATAAAAAATTCTATCAAGTGTGGTTCAGTTAAGAGTCTTTGCTTCTTCATCAGCCAATTTAGTATCATTCTAGTGCATTTCCATTTGCTATGGTAATGAATTCTGCTTCAGAACTTCCATTCTCGTTACTTTAGGCCTAATTGAGCCCTTGTTATTGGTGTAGAATATTGTCCAAGCACAAAGGAACTTTTAGTCATGTTGATGGCAAGAAGGTACAGATTGCAGCTGTTGCTTTTAATAGGCTGTTTGAAGGGGAAATTGTAGCTGTGGACTGGGATATCTTCCAAGTAAGATATCTATAGCATCTTTAAAACAGATCAATATATTTCTAGAAGATGTTGAATTACTAGCAGATGTAGCTGGTGAAAACTGGCATGGAATCTGTACTGTATCTACATTCAGTTCTGGTTAGCTTTGAGGCCCCATAATTTAGCTTTCAGCCCCCCAATTCTAGATTTTTAATCTAAAACTTCACATATATAACCATGTCATATCCTATCTTCAGGAGTTCTTCACACATTGTCGAAGAAAGAAAACCTCAAGATACCTCTTGGTGTCCTAAAGTATGAAATCTACACCATCTGTCCTATTCAGGCAAGCATGTTATGTCTGCCAATGAAAGTTTTGAGCCTGCATTTGGCTCATTTCAGTAGCTTTTCTGCACTACTTACTAAAATCTCAAGATGGTAATTCGAATTTGGAACAGGTCATTGATGGAAAGATTCATTTTGCTCCAATTGGATTGCTTGACATGTACAATTCTGGTGGAGCCATGGACAGTTTAAGGTACTCAATTGATCTGCTACGACGTTCAGTAAAATTACATGCAAGGGGATGTGGCGGCTTTGGAGCATATTCTAACATGAATCCAAAGTCTTGGAAGGTGAAAATGAAAGATGAGGCATTCATCTATGATTCTGATACTGGATGGCTTGAAAGAAATTGAGATTCTGTACTGAGGTGTTTTTTCAGTGTTTTTCTGCAGGGTAATATCAATAGGTGTTATGTTATTGGTTGATCCTACTCAACAGAACCTAGATGGAATTCACATGTCTAATTGTTTGCCCAAAAAAAGAATCTTTTATGATGATTTGTTATTTTAACAACTTTCCTTGCAGACAAACAACTTTGTGATTTGTGCACAATTTTTTGTTTCCACCAGTATTTTAGCATTATTTTGGCTAATAAATGAAGCAAAGATGCATGTCAATATGCTTGATATACAAGAATGGTGTAGCATAAATTTTCCATAAACTATGTTAGCAATTTGCCCTTTTTACACATTCTAAGTAGTGATTTCTTTTGAAAGAAAACAGTAATTGGATATTAACATTTGTGGTGCAGAATTTGGAGTATGGGAAGGCACAAACTTTGAAGGACTGACATAAACTGGATGTGGATCATGCACACAATAACGCAATTATTTTTGTGTCTCTTAAGTTGTACCAAAAGATTAAAAGGACCAAATACCCTTACATGGTCATCATTCTAATTGTATTTCACAAAAAAAAAAAAAAAATGAAACTCTATTGTAACATTTAATAACATTGGAGTTTCCCACCTCATTAGCTAGCTAAGACACAGCAATTGTTAGATCCATAATGGTTAGAAGCAGAGTTGCAAATGAATCGAGTCGAATTTTGATCTAATTGAGTTGACTCTCGACTCAATTTTACCAAACTTGAGACTCGACCTCAAATTCAAGCCGAGTTCGAGCCTAAAAAAATAAAAATAAAAATAATTTTTATTTTTTTAAAAATAAATAAAATAGTAATTTTTTGTTAACAAATAATAAAATATTATGGATATTTATGTAATTTTACTATCAAAATAAAAATTTTATATATGTATATGTATGTAAGTATGCATATATAAAAATTTTCTTTGAACTAGAGTTTGAATATTGACCAAACTCGAGTTGAGTTTTGACTGAATCGGCTTACGAGCGTATGTGTGTGCGTGTGCGCGCGCATGCATGTATAAATCTGTTGCAATGGATATTCCCGAATATAAATCCAGACAAGGGAATATCTCATAGACATCACTGCGAGGACGAAATCACAATACATGCAATAAACAATAAAGTTGGCAAAAAATGTTTAACGCTTTTTTAATTTTTTTATTTCATGATAATCTAAACAATGTCATATATATGTACTTCGTTTTATCTACTCTTTGATATTTCACAATACTTGAAACGTACTTCTTGAAAGGAAATTCAAGTCTATTCACATCCAAGGATTATGCATTTTGTTCCTTACCTTTTCCAAGACACTTTAAATTTTCCAGAATTGTATAAATTACTCATAGTGTTTAAGAATCAAGTAAAAACTATAAGAAGAAGTATTACTTCAACAGATTTGATTGGCAAAATATGTAAATAATTTTGGTTGTATAAACCCCTTCGGAGAAACTAAAGTTAATAAATGAAAATTAGTCTAGAAAGGTAGAAATAATATAATTAATCCGGTAATATCAGAAGCAACATCACAATTAAATCATAATGAAATAAGTACCAAACATACACTAAAATTGAATCCACATTTAGTTATACTCGAATTCGAAACCTTTAATTCCTGGGCCTAATAGATTATATGGTATAAAAATTAAAATTGACAAACAAAAAATAGGTGCTCCAACAGGCCCAAGTACGATATGCTGTTTAAACTAGATTTCCTGCACCACTATTTCAATCAAAACCGCAGCGTAAGGTTGAATTTGAGGACATTTTTTAGCATTTCAATCCAATCCGGCAAGTCGAATTGGCCGTTTACGAACAGGTGCTAGAACTTTTAGCTGATTAAAGTCCATTCTTATCCAATCAGGCAACTTCTGCTGCTATACATTTGTAAGTTTTCTGTCTTTAATATTCCAGTATTTTGTCCTAAATATTGAGTAGAACATGATTCCATTCCCATATTCCTAATGATGGTTACCAAATTGTCCAATTAATTGTTCAAACCTTTGATCACCGTCCAGAGAAATTGAACTAGCCACAAAGTTAGCATCTACAAAGCAAAATCTATCCCCTCTCATCTCATTCCTTGCCCTCTTCACCTCTATAAAAAAGCTAGCAAAATTGCTATAGACCCTATAACAAAACTCAAGTGAAAACCCTCCAAAGTCCCAAAAAAAGATCAAACAGTTCCTATTCTCAAAATTTGCAATCCCGACACAACTATGGCTAATTCATCAGCACTCAACAAACAAGTAACACTGGTAGTTTTCATGGCCATGTTGATCATGAGTTTCTCCTCTGGAGGGCAAGCACAAATCCCTTGTAGTACAGTGTCCACTGACCTCTATCCATGCCTGAGCTATATTATGAATGGGGGAACAGTTGATCCTGCTTGCTGCAGTGGTATTAAGACTCTCATCAACTCAGCTAAGACCAAACCTGATCGGCAAAATGTCTGTTCTTGTCTGAAGTCTTTTTTGTCAAATGCAACTGATGGTCAAATCAAGAATGCTGCTGCTATTCCTGGACTATGTGGTGTTAAACTTCCGGTCAACATTACTCGTAATATGGACTGCTCAAAGTAATCTTCTATCTCTTATACGTATGACTAGCAAAGTGATAAATCCTTTCCCATGCATTTATTTCTATTCACTATTGATTTATATTTCTATGATTGAGATGATTGATTTTTATTTCTATTGCATTTATCCGCTATAGTTTGCTCTGTAATCATTTTAATACTGAAAACATGGGAATGGAGTAAATGGATTAAAACTGGAGTGGATTCATGACTTCCCACATAATCATTAGCAGATCATTATAAAGTTTTTTTTTTACTGTTCTAGACATTGTTTCGTGGCCTAAGAAGCGGATTAGTCTTTGATTAATTGAAGCATCTAATTTGGCCGACAATATCAATTAATTGTCCTTCACATAAAATTATTGGATTCCTAAAATGACCACACATGCCATGTATTGAATATTTGTGCATCTCTGATTTCTTGGCTAAGAGCCTCCCTTGGACTCATACGTAACATTGCATTGATCGATATACACAATGTTCGTGGATCCCCAATGCATATGTGCGCAGCCAAAAAGTTTTCCTATATATTGATTAGCCACTCATCAAGCAAAGTTTTCCTATATATTGATTACCCTTGTTGGGAGACTCACCCACCACAGCCAGGTGTGCGACCCGGGTCGACCAACGGATTAGTCAGGGCAAAGCCCTGGATACCGTGGCAGGCAACCAAAAAAAAAAGTATTAAAAGATGTAAGGGGAGGAATATTTAGTAGCGTAAATTTTATGTACATTCATAATGTATATACTATCACTTGTTAGATTCATGATATATATGTGTAAAAATTGAATTTCAAATTCAATCATTAAACAGTTATCATTCATCAACTACTAATAATGTATACATGGTAGAAAAGATTAATCCTATTTAGTACTAGCAAGTTTGCTAATCAAGTTATTAATCCTTCTATTCTTTCCAATTCTGTACTGCAGGGTGAACTCAATTTATTACTGAGCACTTGATGGCTACACGTTGGTGGGGATGTCTCGTATTAATGTTTTAATTTGAATGGTTTTATGGGTTGTAATATTTTCCAAGCGATTTCCGTTTCTGTCACTTATGGACAATTATATATGAAGGAATGTGTTATTCCGTGCCTTATATATGTTCCCTAGAACATAAATTTGTGAAGCAATGTCCGATTTATTTACTCACTTTTGCTCTCTTATTCACTCTTGCTTTTTTCTTTTTTTTTTTTTGGTTTTAAATGTCTGATTTGCAGCCATGTTAATGTGAAATGAAAGAGTGTATACCCCATTTTGGTAGCTTATGAAAAATTAAATAAAAAACTAGTTCTGTTTATGGCTTCTCTGCTAACTTTGTACAATTTGTAGTTAAATAATGATGTATACGTTCTCGAATTGAAGTTCATTTCGTGTTTCATTGTACTTTTACATTTGCCAGGGAACAGTCATAACGCTATAATTAATGATGGTGGCAAAGATTCTATACAGGAATCAAGATTAAGGATTTGGCAATTTCAATGCTTTTCTTTTTTCTTTTTCAATTTTGGCTACATATTCAATAATTAATCAGCTCGTATTAAACTAAAACCAAGTAAATTCCCTAAAAGGGAACAAGGTTGGTGAAAATGAAGAACCAATGTCATTCCTTGATTCTTGGAAGAGTAAAATTTGGTGCCTAAATTTTGATCCTTAAGTGATTCAAGTACTCGAACGTAGACGAAAATAGATCTGGTACACAATATTACAATATTTAAACACATTTTTCTAAATTTCTACGGAAAATGTTAGTGCCTGGTGATGAAGTTTTAAATAAAATCTAACCACCAATTAATTACTGCCATTGGATGTTGCTTTTTGACAATTAAATACACTGCCCAACTCATTCTATTTAGTCCTGCATCTGTTTTTGCTAGGCTAAAAGTATAAAGATTCCATATACTAGTGATAATGAACTTCATTGACCATTTGCGTTGAAAGAAATGGCTTGTTTAACAACATGGTATGGATGAATTTGCTTGCTCTGTTGTCGACAACCACGTTAAAATGATTGGTGGATTAGATACGTAGCAGTCAGCTTCATACAAGTCCACATCTGCTGCCGTCCGACTGCCGTCCTCTGATTCCCTGTTTCAAACGGCACTCTGGAAAACTCTGATGAGTCCTGACCATTGACTTTTGGTAACAAAAGACAAGTCGGTGATCTTGATTTTCACTTCGTTTATTAACTCGCACAAAACTATTATTTAGCGCTACATTATTGATACAACTCATTTTTTTTTTCTCCTTAAAAATCGAGTAACCCCGGATAAGGGGTCTACGTGTGAATGTGGTAGCTCCATATAGATTGGGTGTTTTTCAAAAGCTTTTCTATAAGTATTTTTGAGGGGATGACGGCAGTGCAAAAAGGAGGAAGGCAAGGAGGTGGCGATGGTGACGTGTGGTGGCTGGTGGGAGGTGGGAGGTGGTGGGTAGAAGAGAAAAGAGGGTGTTGGTTTTTATTTATTTATTAGGTATCTTTGAACTTGTATATAATTAATGTTTTTGGGGTAATAATGCTTTTGGGGTTATTTTTGAGTTTGTTAACATAGACTTCACTGGTTGGTAGGAAACTCTCCAATCCAAGTGTATTAATTTAGAACCAAAAAAAAAGCAACAAATGCGAAAGTTGATGATTGTTTGGACATGGGTTCTAACGTTCTTGTCTAACAGCTGCATCAGTTAGTAGAACGAAGTTTTAGTTTATGTGATCTAGCAAGGCAACTTTGCTGTTTAACAACAGCGAAGGGGCGATACATCCTAAGTAGAACGAAGTTTCATTTTATGCGGTCTGGCAAGGCAACTTTGCCGTTTAACAACAGCCAAGAGGCTATACAACCCTTTCACTTGATAGCTAAGTAATGTTGATCTTTTTCTGTATCTGGTGTCTTTTGTACTTTGGGAACTTATTTATTGGCTGATTAATTAAATCAGCTTCCTTGATACTGCTAAAAAATGCAATGATTAAGATGGTTGGACTCTGTAAACTATTTTGAAATGGTGTCTTACTAACATATTAGAAAAAAAAAAAAAAAAAAAAAAAAAAAAAGCCCACTTGGATTGCATATTTAGGGGATGTTTTGGGAAAAAATTACGATAGTAGGATGTGATAAATGTAAGGTTAAAAGGTGATTGAAAAATGTGTAAAAAGAATATTTAGAAGAAAATTTTTTTTTTCTGCCTAACGATCGAATGGTCTATTTGGAATGTTACAAAATGTTATAATAGCACATTCTCTACCCAATTTCGTGATGCCACAGTTGCTACATTAGCCCCTCATCCAGGGAAGTATAACTGCCTTAAAAATTAAGCCAAACTTTCTTCTTTATCTTCCGCGACTAGTCCTCTATATCCCAGCAAAGTTTTAGTTTCAAAACTACGGCTATGACTAATATCTTAACAACCAATCTAGATTTTCTCTCATATAATTTGATGCCTTTACTTGAAAGAAGAAGAAGAACTTCCTGTGAAATGCTACCAGATAGATAGTCCAAATAATTGTTCATTGTTTAAGGTACACACCACACATCACTATCAAAAAGGAAACAATTTCTACGCCAACGCATCACATTCTATTGGCTGGTCACCTCTATAAATTGTATTCAAACTGCTATAGTCTGTATAGCAACCCAAGTGTAAAAATCCAGGTCCAGAAGAAAAGATCAGTTTCTTTCTTCACCATTCTTACTTTGAAGGCAAACTCAAGTATGGCTAATTCATCAGGACTCCTCAAACTAGGGACTCTTGTAATGTTCGTATCCATGCTTATCATGAGTTTCTCCCATGGAGGGCAAGCACAAATCTCCTGTGACACTGTTGACAACGACCTGTTTCCATGCCTTAGCTTCGTCCTGAATGGAGGAAAAGTTGCACCTGCTTGCTGTAGTGGGATTAAGACTCTACTCAGCCTGGCTAAGACTAAAACTGATCGCCAGAGCATTTGTTCTTGCTTGAAATCTGTTGCTCAGAGTGCTACTGATGGTCAGCTCAAGAATGCTGCACAAATCCCTCATCTGTGTGGTGTTAATATCCCATACAAGATTTCTCGCAACATCGACTGCTCAAAGTAATGCTCTATCTTGCACACTCTTTAATCTCTATATTTCCCACTATAATCACTAGTGTTCTAGGCATACAATTCTACTGTATTGAAATTTACGAAAAAAAAAACTTTTTAATTGTACAAGATGACGAAAAAAACATGAAGAAGAAATTACAAAAAAGTGTGGAAGGTTTTTTAGAACATGGGTACTTATCGAAGGATGAAATTTTCCACGATGGCAATTTTTTTTAGATACAAATGGTATTCATTGAATAAGTTTAGGCAGTGCATACCAATTTTGCAGTTCTAAAGTGTTTCAGAAAGTGTTAGAAACGTAGAACTGAATATGTACTAGCTAGGGATAAATCGTCTTCCTCTTGGAAGTGTGTTTTTCTATTGATAAGTTTAAGGGTATAAATGGATGTTTAAAAGATGACAAATTAAATTGTGTTGATGCCATGTAGAGCTCCTCTTGCTTTATATATTGTACAGATTTCGACATCAGAGTTTACAGGTTTGAGCGTATGAAAATAGAAAAGCCAAGAAAGAAAAAAGAAAATGGTTATAGTCTTCATAAATGAATGCAGAGCTTCTAATATCAGGGCCAAAAATTATCACGTATAAATCATTCCATAATCAATACAATTAAAACATCTTTACAATTTGGTGGGGGAAACTGATGAACTTTCAAGTGGTACTTATTTGAAAACTTTCTAAAGTCTTAAGGGGACGACTGCAGCTAGCCCTTCCTAGTTATCTCGTTGAATGCTCATGCACCTCCTTTCGTGTTGTGACCTTCTTGAGGAGGATTGATTTGTATATTGAGTTTTGCAATGTTTTCTAATTAAATACTTAATGTGCCTAACTGCAAAATTGTATTGCAGGGTGAAGTGAGCTTGATGGACAATTGAGATGCGTTGCATCACTTTGCAATCTTGAATGGATTGTAAAAATTTATCATTATTAATACCAGTGAAAGAATATGCCAAATGTTATGTATTATATATGTTAGATCTCAAGCATATATGTATGAATTCGTATATACATATATATGGAAAGTTATTCATCACTTAACATAATATTGTTCACAGATTGATTATGGAAAATATTCACATTTATGATATGTCTATACATGCCATATTTTCTGGAGACCCTTGGCTTGTTCATGGGGATGATACAGCCAAGAAAGGATAAAAAGACAATTTACAGCTTAGATTAGCCAATAAATTGTTCACACATTTGAGTAATTGGAATCCCAAATTAAGACTTTTTTAATGGACAAGCCATGTAATAAATACTATCCCTTCTCATCCATTCTATCGCCTATCTGCCTATACAAAATACTAGGCAAAATTGCTATATGCCATGTAATAACTCAAGCGAAAAACCTCCACGAGCCCCAAGAAGTTTTGTTTCCTCAAAATCACTGATCCCATGGAAATCACAACTATGGCTAACTCATCAGGACTAATCAAAAGAGTAGCACTAGTAGTTCTCATGTCCATGTTGATTATGAGTTTCTACAGTAGAGGGCAAGTGCAAATGTCTTGTGACCTGCCTTCTTTGTTGGGAGTGGGGGACAAGCTGATCCTGCTTGCAGCAAAGGAGTCCGGGATATCGTCAGCTTGGCAAGAACCAAAGGTGATCGTCAGCGTGTTTGTTTTTGCTTCAAACCCTTTCTTGGGTCGGCTACTGACGATCAAATCAAGAATGCTAATAGCATCCCTAGAATTTGTAGTGTTAAAATTCCAAAAATTAACATTACCCGTGACATCAACTGTTCAAAGTAATCTCACTCTCTTATGCAAGTTCTCTTTACCGACGGATGATGTTAGCGTAAACGGAAGTGGCTTGCATTCTTTAATTATGAGGTCTTGGATTCGAAAATCACAAGAATGAAAAAGACAACGTTGAGAGAGATTCCTCTCGTAAGGGGCCTGAAGGAACTCAAACAGGATTAGTCATATACTGTAAAAAGAAATGCAGACACATGTGGATTATATAAATAAAAAATTTCTATTTAGCACTGCTCATTCCTTTTGAAGGAAAGAATTTTTTTTTTTAAGCAAACGGAAGAAGGTTGTTGAAAGTGTGAAATCAATTTCACTCCTTAAATTAATTCTTGGAATGACATCATCAAACCAATTCATATTTACAAGTAGTAGCTAACAAACTTTTCCAAATTTTTCCAAAAAAAAAAAAAACTTTTTCCAAAACTTGTCACTTGGACTCATACGTGACAAAACACTCATCCATCTACCTAGATATCATAAATTGTCAAATCCAAAGCATTTAACACGATGAAAAAAAAAACTGCATGCGTGTTTAAAAAAAATTTCTTCTTGCTTGTCTTTTTGTTTTTGCCTGTCAAGTAGCCTTTTCTTAGTATTTAAAGTCTTAACAACTGTTCTACTTTTTGTACTGTATATTGCAGGATCAACTTGCTTTACTGAGGGTACCTTACAGCTGTTGCTTGGGGAAGCTTTGCAGTGGAATCTGGATTGGTGCTGTGGGTTATAAGATTCTTCCAAGTGATTTTTTTCTCTGCTATCAATGAAAAATTGAAGTGATAAACTTTTAGTATGCTTTATGAATGTTTTGTGGAGCATAAATTCCTGAAGAAAAATTCCGATTCGTATATTCACTTTTGCAATTTTGTTTTAATTTCTGATGTCTTGTTATATTCTGTGTGCGCGCGTATGTCCAACTACGTTAAGATACGATGGAGAATACATACGCTTCCTTATTAAAGTTGCTATCAAGAAGAGTGAGTCGAATCGAATTCTATTCGAATAAAAATATTTGAATTCGAACTCGAACTCGAGTTCATTGATATCGAGTTCTTCAAAGTTGACATTGACCTCGAGTTCAAGGTTATTTTATCTTGCTTGAATTCGAGCTCAAGCTTAACCAAATTGAACTCAATCAATTTTTTTAATAAATTTCACAATTTTATAATAAATGATTATAAATTATATTATAAATAATTTATATTATAAATTTGATAAGAGAGCCGATAAGTATTCGAATTTTGATTTTTTTTTCTTATTCAAAATCGACTCGATTACCTTATCAAGTATCTTGACCGAGTTACTCATGAACTCAAGTCGAGTAACTCGATTAATTCATCACAACCCTGTTCCTTGTTTCTTAGTCGGAAGTGCAAAAATTGAGATAGTTGGACTTGATTTTTGGAATATTGTCGCACTGACAAAATACAGAAACGCAAAAGTGTATCAAATTAATGCGACGTGGGAGGTTACAAAATGTTCTAACACAATTCTCTGCCAAATTTGTGATGCCAAACTCACGAAATGGGCCCTTTTTTTTTTGTCTCAGTGTTGTAAACATTTATCTCATTTGGTCCAATTTGCCATCTTGTCCCGTACATCCAAGAAAACCTTTTTGGTCTGGACTAACACGAAGCACTTCCTATCTTTGGTACAAAATAGTCAAATAATTGTTCTACTCCTTCCATTTTAGAATTAATTTGTTGAAAATTAGGACTACTAGAATGCACAAACAAACAAATTAACCACATCTCACTATCCAGAAAGAAAACAACTTTATCCCATAAGATCACGCTCCATGGTTTAAGCCCCATAAATTGTATTTAGGCTTGGTTGTATTACAGCAGAATTCTCTTATAGATGTACTCTTTTAATGTTACTAGCTCAAATATAACTAGGAAGTGATAAATTTGAATTCTAAGATAACACATTTTTAATGATTGAATCCCAGACAATTTCGCAAAAAAATTGAATCCTAAGGTGGCTTTATTTTTTTCTTTTTGGGTTTAAACCACTGTGGGCTTGTTAATCGTTTTGATAATCAAAAGATATGAAAGAAGTGCATAGATGGTACTTTCCTAAGAATGTTATTTCCCATTTTCAGTCTTAATATCTCATTCTCCAACTTTCTTGTCTCAACTTTTTGTTAAAATAAAGAAAAAAAAAAAAAAAGAAAAGAGACAAGAGCTTATTTATCGTCTTTTGGATCATGTCGAATTGTTAACTTAGAGAGCAATAATTTCTTCAGCATTGGCATCCAATATTCCATTTTCCTTCCACGCTATATTCGTAAAATGAGAGAAGGGTTGGTGAAAAAAAAAACAATTTCATTTTTTAATTCTTTGAATAGCTTGAAATAAATTGATATTTTCTAGTATTTTGCGTAATTATTAGACTTTTTTGAAAAACTTTCACTTTGACTCATGCGTAACAAGACACTCTTCGATTTGCATAAAATATGTGGCACACAATTCATTTAACACCATGAAATCAAGAAGCTGCAAATTCTTCTTGGTATAAAGCTTCCTATTAATTTAGGTACTTATCAGTATTCTAAGTTTAGGGTCAAGTTCCATTATTGAGCACTTGATGGCTGCTGCTTGGGATGTCTTGCATCACTATTGAATCTTCATGTTTTTGGGGGTTGTAAGATTAATCTTCCAAGTGATTTCAAATTTGAAGCCGTATTCTAGACCTGGTTAATATGTTCAAATTTCGTATCCTATTCACTTTTGCATCATTAAAAAAAAGTCACTAATGCCCAATCTAATAATTACAATAAAGAATATCTATGCCATTTTATAGCTTTATGTTCTCATGAGCACAAAATTGAAGCGATAAGGCGATATAGTCTTTTTCATATATCCAAATGGTAATTTGATGCTTTATGCCTTTTTTTTTCAGGCCATATAATGGAAAAGTAGTAAGTTAATAATTTAAATCTAGTGAATAACAACAGAAAGCAACAATTACCAAAGTGGATGACAGATTCAATATTGAGCAAATTATCTGAATGGCCAATGAACTTTTGAAATCGTTGAGTTTTGTCCACTGAATTATTAAAGTCAGATTTTAGCTACTGAATTATCTAAAGTTTAGATTTCGGGCTATTCCGTCAAATTTAATCGATAACCATGCCCTATATTTTTATCTCGTGAGTCGTGCGACCAGTCAGATCTGTTATATTTAACGGTGAAATCTAACGGAATGATTCAAAATCCAAACTTTAAATAGTTCAATTGTCAAAATCAAATTTTTAACAGTTCAATAGTTAAAACTCAACGATTTCAAAAGTCTGGTGGCCATCCAGATAATCTGCTCTTCAACATTTCAACCTTATAGTCAAAAAGCTGCGTCAAATTTCAGCTTTTGAACGTTTTCAAAAGCGAAAAGACAGTTCGCATGATCAGCACGTTAACGATGCCGTTTTGTTTATAACAATGCAGAGGTCATTTAAAACAACGTTATTGTTGGATTATGAAAGCTAACGTGCTTTTCTAGCTCCAAATGGATAACTGAAATCTAATTAATACTATTCTATGGCAAAGGGTGATCATTTCCTTGGATTCTTAAGAAAAATATAATCAAATTTAGAGGTTTTTTTTTTTTTGCATCAAATAGGAGGTGTATTTTGAAATCCGTTTGGATTCCCATTACTTGGAAAAATTTTTGAAAATCTTTTTGTGAAATACGTGATTTTCTGGTTTTCTTTTTATCTCATATATATTACATAATAATAATTGTTACAATATATATATATATATATATATATTGATAAATGACTTTGCTCGTCCCACAACTTTATCTCATGTACTTATTTTGTCCCTTATCTTTATAAAAATCCTGATTATGTCCCTGACCTTAATAAGGGGCAATATAGGATCAAGAGCTAAAGTTGGGGGACAAATTAAGTTACAGACCCCTTTTTTTTTTTTCTAAAATATAAAGAAGGTATAACACAAACGAACTAACAGTATGTGAAACTATGCAGTTGACCATGATTTGCATCTGAAGCCTTGTTAACGTTGAAGAGTTATGGTTGATCACTTACACCAAATTCCATTTTCTTATTCCGAAAAACAACAATTAAAATATTGGACTCCTAAACAAACTAAAAGAAACCAAAATTATAGCTACAAACTGATGTTGCATGTGGGAGTTTTCATTCATTCTTTCTTCTTTTTTTTTTTTAAGGTGTGGGAAGTTAGAATATTCTGAACCCAAATTCGGGATGCCCATGTTAAGAAACCAGTCGTCCTCCTCCAGGCAACGTAAGGGAGACTGCGACCTTTTTGCTTAACGTTTGGCACGAGTTCATGACGATGTGGAAGTTGGAAATACGTACCAGCAGGTGTAAGTTAGCTAGTTAGGCCTGACTAGTTTGGCAAGCATCATTATCCAGAAGGGAAGCAATTTTAGCCCATCTGATCCCATTTTGTTGTCTAATCACCCCATAAATTGGCAAGCATTTCTGCAGGCAAGATAGCAAGGCAAGCACAAACATAACGAAAAAAATTCAAGTTCTTTCTTCGCAATGAACCATGGCATTGGACACTGTAGCCAAATTATCCTCACTCCTCAAACCATTAATGGTTGTATTTATTTCATACCTATGTTGTTTATGAAGTTTTTTTCCATGGCGGGCAAGCTCAAATTTCTTGTGGTACAGTCAACAATGTCCTTGCCTTAGTTTTATTATTATGAAAGGAGGGAAAGTTGCAGCTGCTTGCTGCAGCGGGATTAAGACTCTAAATCAGTTTGGCTAAGACCACGGACGATCGCCAATGTGTATGTTCTTGCTTAAAATCTCTGGCTCAAAGTGCCCCTGATAATCAGCTCAAGAATGCTGCAAAAATCCCTCATTTGTGTGGTGTCAAACTGCCATTTAACATTTAACATTTAAAGTAGAAAAACACAGGTAACAAAGAAAAAGAAGAAGAAACTTGATCGTCTTGGTACATTAATGCAGAAATGTTATTTTCAGAGGGCAGAATTTACATCATATAAAAACATAATTACAACATACAGATTTTCTAAAATTTCATTGTTGATTTTGAGAATCTTTTAAATGCCCAATCCGCAATCTACTGTACCGTTACTAATGTACATTATTGGAGGAGTATGCATAATATAATTATTTTACGTTATCTCGAACGTAAATTTGTGAATTGATTTGCCCTATATATTAATTGACATGTAATTACATTGATGATAAGAGAACTAACGCATGGACGGAGACAAATTAAATCATAAATTAGCTAATTAATTGGTCAAACCATTGAATCACAACAGCTCAAAGAAACTAAAATCGCCACATATAAATAGCAAGCACAAATTGCCATAAAGCTGTGTAACAGCCCTAGTGAAAACCTCCAACTCCCAAAAAAAAAAAAAAAAAACGATCAATCAGTTTGTTTTCTCAAAAATTACCAATCAATCCCATCAAAATTATGGCCAAATCATCAAAACTCATCAAGCAAGCAACACTAGTGGTTTCCATGGTCATGTTGGTCATGGGGTTTTGGCCAGGAGGACAGGCACAAATTTCTTGTGATACGGTGTCCAGTAACCTCTATCCATGCCTCAGTTTTGTTGTTAATGGGGGTACACTCGACCCTGCTTGCTGCGGTGGATTTAAGGCTCTTGTTACATTGGCCAAAACCAACGTTGATCGTCAGAGTATATGTTATTGCCTCAAATCCCTTCTTTCAAATGCCCCTAATGATGATGAGATCAAGAATGCTGGTAGCATTCCTGGACTCTGTGGTGTTAATCTTCCCTACACCATCAGGCGTGATATCGACTGTTCAAAGTAATTTCTGTCTCTCATACTTGCTTTATACACATTTCTAGCTCAAATATAATTAGGAAAGTTGTAAATTCTCTGTCATTTTGGCCCATCATCCTTAATGCCTCGTTCTTTATTTTGGGTTCCATTTTTCCTTTTACCCAAAATCCATAAAATGGGAAAAGGTTGGTGAAAACATGCTTGATGTAATAATAAATCTTGGGATGGCTTGAATGACTAACTTTTTATAAACAAGTATCACTAACAAACCTTTTTCCAATATTTTTCACTTGGATTCGTAGGAAATAATGCACTCATCAATCTACATAAAATTCGAGGAACCCAATGCATTTGACATGATGATGATATCAACAATTTCAAAAATTCTTCTTGGTAGAAACAAAGTATCCCTATTCATGTAGGTACTTATTATGAAGCTTAATTTGCAGTCTGCATCAGCACTAATTAGGATTAGAAAGTTTGCCAATCCAGTAACTAACAATTCTACTTTTTCAACTGTTTATTGCAGGGTGAATTGAGTTCACTGAGCACTTAAATGGCTACTTTCTTGGAAGTCTTGCATCAGTTTTCAATCTCGATTGTTTTTGTGGTTTCTACGATTCTTACATACAAGTCTTTTGCTTATCTGTTAATAACGTACTTCAATGAAGATGTTAGTTCTATATTTCAATTTATGTTTCTTAGGACATAGGCTGGGTAATATATTCTACTTTTTTGTCTCTTATTTTCTTATGCATAGTTTTTCCCTTCTTTTTTTTTCCCCATCTCTAATATATCCGGTTTATTAATGTCCAGAGAAAGAATATCTGCGCCATTTTGATGCTTTCTTTATCTTTTTTTTTTTTACCAGCTAAATAATGAAAAAGTAGTAAATCAATAATTGAAATATAGTAAAAAGCAAAAATAAACAACAAATGCCAAATTGGACATTCGTTTGAACTTGGTGCTTCAAGTTTCAGTTTTAGAACAATTTGATAGTAGAAACAAACTTTATGACTTATATGATGAAGGCAATGTTGCAATTTAACTAGCAAAGACCCAAAATCAGGGGTTGCAATGTGCAACTATAATGTCCGATGTGATAATATTATTTGATAGACATATTTGTTACGTGTACCATTAAATCTAATTTTGTGACTGTAATTTAGTAATAAGATCATTCTACTTATTTGAGTTAGGAACATAAAAAATTTACAAAAAAAAATTAATAATATTCCTTATTTGTCTTAAACACACGTTTTCTAATATTTTTTCATCTCACATCACATAAAAAAGAAATTGCTATAGTAAAGAAATTTTTCAAATAACTTTCAATCCAAATGGATGAATCGTCATATAACTTGAATTAAGTCCAAGAGTCTAACAAAAGATAATCATTATGATATCTTAATAGTTAAGGGGGCAATGCACCTATGAAAAGGTAATTGCACAAAATTTAGGGGAGGCAAATATAATGTAATTACAAAATTTCTCAAATTTCGTAAGACTATTTTGTGATTATACCAAAATCGAGGAGGGGGAGGTGGCTGCAATTTCCCACCTCATGGCCTCAACTATATGTGGCTCCGCCGCGGGCTAAGAGGTCATGCATTGTAACGTTTTCGTTCAGTTATGCTAACTAACGTACTTTTCTGGCTCCAAAGGTTATTCTAAATGGATAACTGAAATTGATTGATTAATAATACTATGAATAAGTTACTCGGGTAGCTACTAAAAGTTTTCAATACTCAAGATTTGACCATTCGATTATTAATAATATATGTTTATTCATTGAACTATCAAAAGTGTGAATTTTAGGCCATTCCGTCTGATTCTACTGTTAACTTTATTAGATATAAGGGTCCGCATGATTCACGAGACATACTATTAATAGTTAGATATGACAGAATTAATCGTGAAATTAGATGAAATAATCGAAAATTTACACTTTTAATAATTTAGTAGGTAAAAGAATACTATTAATAGTTGAATGGTCAAAACCTCTAATACTATTCTATTGAAGGAGATCATTTTCATGTATTGTTAAGGGCTTTTTTTTCCTTCTTCTTTCTTTTCGTCCCCCATCCAATGGAAGTCCATTTTGAGAGGAATAGAAAAGTTACAAACTATGAATTTCAAAATCATAGACTATACTTAACCATTGATTTTTAGAGCTTTACATGTGGCAGGAGCTTTAAAAATCATAGCGTCTGCTATGCTATTAGGACGTATTTCAAAGGCATGATTTGCAGCTGAATCTGAAGCCGAGTAACTGATGGGGTTATGGTTGAAGAATGAAACCAACTTCGATTCCATTTTCTTATTATGAAAAACAACAATTAAGATGGTTGGACACGTAAACTAGCTTAGAAAAACCAAAACAACAATCCAATGTTCATGTGGGAGGTTAGTCACAACTTTGCTCTGAACCCAATTTCCTGATGCGTGTGTCACCAAATTAGTCCCTCTTCCAGGCAACTTTTGCCATGAGTCCATAATTCCGCACCTGGTTGTTCAACTGTTTTCATTTTCGGACGTCAAGTGTCTATATCTTTGAATTACTAGAATCCACGAGCAAATAAATAATGCTGGTCGCAAATCACTTCCCAGAAAGCAAACGATTCTATCCCATCTGGCCATCTCATCACATTCCACTTGTCTAATCGCCTATATAAATAGTAAGCACTTCTGCAGGCAATATAGCAAGCCAAGCACAGCAATCCCAAATCCCAGAACTATAAAGAAGGTCAATTTCTTTGTTCGCAATTATCAGTTCCATGGCATTCACAACTATGGCCAAAGCATCCTCACTCAAACCGCTAGTGTTCGTACTTTTTGTATCCATGTTGATCATGAGTTTCTTTCGGAGCGGGCAGGCACAAATTTCTTGTGACACCGTCAAGAATGACTTATCTCCATGCATTGGCTTTATCATGAATGGAGGAAAAGTTTCTCCTGCTTGCTGCAGTGGGCTTAATACTCTACTCAGCCTAGCAAAGACTAGAACTGATCGCCAGAGTGCTTGTTCCTGCTTGAAATCTGTTGTTGAAAGTGCTACTGATGATCAACTCAAGAATGCTGCTCAAATTCCTCATTCATGTGGTGTTAATCTGCCATTTAAAATCTCACGTGATGTCGACTGCTCAAAGTAATGTTCTCGTCTCTTTCAATCTTCTATTATATTTTTAGGCAATATTTTCATTTTTAGTTGCTTCAGCTTTTTTGCTTTTCTATAGTAATCCGTAATTCATTTAAGCCCGCATCAGGAGAATTGTCTTGAATATCATGTACTACAAAGTTCTCTAATTAAGTAGCTAATGGCCTACTTGTAAAATTTGTACTGCAGGGTGGAGTTAGCTTGATGGGCACTTGAGGTGCTTCTCCAGGATGCATCACATCACTGTCTAATTAATCTTGAATGGTTTCGTGGACTTTAAGAATCTTCCTAAGTGCCTACTGATGTACAACAAAAGAATATGCTCAATGTAATGTTTTAATGTTCTATCTATCGAACATAAAGTTGTTAAGTAATATACGTATTATCAGAGTATACCCGTTATAGTTATTGGATCATAAGGAAATAAAAAGGAATTAAAATATGATGTTTGTGAAGGAGAAATAGCAATATAATAAAATGTGGGATAGAGAGTGGCACAGGATGTGGGACAGAAGATCCGTTGCGATCGACATTCGTACTTTCTTTCTATTTCCTATTTTTCATGAGCCCTCGCTAATCATGATAGATGATAAGAGAGCATAAAGCATGATGGTAAGATTTCAATGAAGTAAAATATATGTATATATATATATATATGTATACAGCAATCTACACTGAGCAACTAATTGAACTTGCTAAGTCCAATTAATCGCTGAGCAATCTACACTGAAAATTATCAACCTAGAATATGAAGTGAGAAAAAGAAAATCTTGTTAAGCTATTCCTATAAAAACAGATCAAACTTTATAAAATAATGTTGACGTATAAATATTAAGATTTTTTTTAAATTAAAAAAAAAAAGTTACACAGCGTGGCAGAATATTGATGACCTAGAATAAAAATCCACGGCACCCGGATCGACACAACCCTAGATGCGTATATAGTTTGAAATTTAAAAGAAAGAACCAAAATAATGGGCTACCTCAATCTTTACTTGTATGAGAGAGGATAGAAATACTTAAAATATAGAGCTTGTTTTGTAAAAAAGCTTGTTTTAGCCAAAATGGCGTTTGCTATTAGAACATGCAATTGAAAAAAAAAAAATTCATTGATTGAAAGCCTAATTCTTGTTAGAATTTACGGTTATTTGAATTTTAATTAACTTTCCAAAGAAATCACCAATTCGATTTGGAATTAATATGCTAACCTGTTACTGGAGATGGAGGCAGTAATTAGTACAATGAAGACAATGCATGGATAGTTATGCAATGCCCAAAGTACTCTAATTTTTCTTGATCCTCATAATGCAAACTCCATTACCCACAAAAGGTAGAGATTACACTACTATCAATCAGGGATTAACCAATTATATGCCTATGATTATGCGGAATAAATCCCATTTTTTTTTTTTTTTTTTTTTGCATCTACCTATCAAACATTTTTAGAATTTTTGATCGTCGAAATTATCATACATTCTAAACACAAATACATGTTTTTTGCATCTGCCTATTAAACATTTTGAGTATTTGTGATCCTATAAATTCAAATCATCACACATACTAAACACAATAGTCTACTTAATTACCAATGATTAGAAAATTCCATAGCTACTAGTAATTTTTTTTCAAATCACACCCTAAACAGATGCTTGTCCAGTTGATCATATCATTTAATCCCTTTCACACTCCTAAGTTTTCCTTTTCCACTTCCACCAAAGTCCCATCCTCTACCTATAAAATCACCCTTCCTCGTATTCATTCCTCACGCTCAATATTGTACCAAGCAAAATCCCCCAAACCAAAAAAAAAAAAAAAAATGAGCTTCTTCACTATTTCTTCTTTCTTACTTAGCAATTGCCAGCCCTGGATTTATTCGTAAACTAGCTAGTAGCCCTTGTTTTCTTGTGCATGTTGGGGAATTGGCCACAACCCAACATGGAGAAGCAGTTATCTCGAGTAATACTGTGGTAAGTGGCCTGTCTCCATGCCTACATTATATACAGGAGGGGCAAGGGGAGAGCCCTCTTTGCTGCGCCAATGCGGTGTCCCTCATCAACTCAGCCAACACTCATACCACAGCAGATCGCCAAAATGTTTGCTATTGTTTGGAAAGACTCGGTTCGGGCTTTAGCGACGCTGAGATTGCAAATGCAGCCACACTTCCTCAACATTAATTGTGGTACATTTATCGCCTATACCATCTCACGGGATATGGACTGCTCAAGGTAAATATTTTTTTGGGTTTTCCTAACAAATTCTCAAGGTGATTGATTAGTAAAATTTTGCCTTGTGAATATGTACGGTATAAAACAGTTCTGAAACCAGCATTTCCAAACACCAATTGGATTTCGTGATGTAAATATGTAGCCATAGACGGTACCAGAAAAATCATCTTAAGGGGGCGAATTTAGGTATACCCAAATTTGTATGTATAATATAAAATATTTTTAAATTTTAGCAGGAGTAAAACATTAAATTTATCAACAGTGTTTTAAAATTTTCTAATTTTATAAAGAGTGAAAATTAAAATTTTTAAAATCGGGGGTTGGGGGGGACAGTGGCCCCTCCCCATCGTCCTTGATTTCGTCCTTACTTGTCATATTTATTTGTTTAATTTGACACTTAAAAAGAGTATATATTTTGTTTGTGCCATATACTTTTATTTCATGCCCACAGAAAGAAACCTTTGAAAAGTAGTTGAACAAATCAGAATATTTATTATTTTTCCCACTTTTCATCTGTATTAGGTCCGCACAATCAATATGTACATTAAATGTAACCATCCCACGAAGCAGTACAATACAATAATGTGCCATATGTTCCCAGGGATAGTTTTTCTTTTTCCTTTTTTTTTTTTAAGGTGAACAAATGTCTTGTTTTTATTCTTTAATGCACAAAAAATCCCATTTATATTAAATTGAAAATAAATATACAATTCAAGAATGTGTCAACATCCCACTGTCTTGGAATTATTCAATGAGGAATTAATTCCACGAAACCCAACCGTTCAAAAAGGTTCTTGGAATTAATAAATTCAGATCACAAGTAGATTCAGATGAAGAGAATAATTCCCAGGTAGAATTAATATAGAACAACATATTCATTAAGATTTTATTAAAATACATAAAACCATTTTGCCACCACTACAAGTCCGACGACAGACACCGGAACATCAGCCTAAAAGTACTCGGATTAAGGTCCGGTAGACCTTAATGCCGGATTACAAAAGCAACAACCGAAAGAGGAAAACGAGGACGCTAAGCAACCTTGAAAGCTAGAAATATATAATTAATACTCCAGAACAATGCCTTGAAATGTAGATCTTGAAAGCTTCATACTCAAGATCAGACCTCCAACCCTTCAAGCTCAAACAACCCTGCAATATGAATAACAGCATTGTCATTTTCCATGTAATATATCAAATATCTTTTTCTTTTCTTTTTTAAACTTTTATAATAAGTTCTCCAAATATACTACCTGCAAGGTGAAAGTTCTTAGAAATTGTAAAGCAGAACTCTGAAAAAGAGCTTCTATCAGCCCCTTTTGTCCTTAAATTTTTCTGGGACATTTGTTTTGGTTACAAGACCAGAGTATTTTTTTTTCTTTTTTAGTTTCATTCTACCAGCTGCTTCCCTCAGATTCCCATTTTCTTGGGTTTCTGGGGATCATGGCTGTGTTTAACACTGTTCAGGTCAGATCAAGAAAAAAGGAAGAGAGACAGAGAGAGAGATTTACTTGGAGCAGTCAATGTTGGGAGAGATCTCGTAAGGGAGGTTAACACCACATTTTTTAGGGAGGCTTTGAGCTTTGCCCAAGGTAGTGCCAGTACCTCCGGCATTGGAAGCAAGAGATTTCAAGCAAGTGCAAACGCTCTGACGATCAGGTGTATTGTTAGCTTCACGGTAAAGGGCTTTAATCCCATTGCAACAATCAGCTCCCAAGGGACCAGGACCCATTACATAGTTCAAACACGGATACAGGGTATTGTAAACCGTGGTGCATGAAATTGCCGCGTCGCCTTGCGGGGCAAGCAACACCAATCCCATCAACCCCACGCAAAGAAACTTCACCATTGCTGAGCTTGCCATTGCAACAAAAGTTTTTAGCAGGAGGCTAGAAAGAAAGAAATTTACTTGGATAGATTTCTTTTAACTCGATTAGACCTTGGGAGTTACGTGCTTTGGCTGGGGATCATGGAGGGTTTTTATAGAGGAAAAAAGAGGAGGAAAAGGTGATTTTCAATTCAATGGTGAACGGTTGGCAGTTGAGTTGAATTGAATATGGCCATTCTGGCTCATTTCTGTTGATCCATCTGTTTCTTCTGCCAAAAGCTTTTTATGTATCTGAATTAACGCAAGTAGCCGTACGCTGTGATGTGATGGGGCACAGACGTCGTAAAGAGTCAAGTGTAGCTGGATTTTCTCAGTGAGGCCTTCTGGGAAGAAATTGAATCAATTATCAATCCCACCGTCGTATTGAATGCATACCAGTCTATGGTTAGAATTGGTTTTACTCTTCATCTCTAGCTGCTTGACACTTGTCATCCAGACCAGTGTGATTCTATTGCTCGAATCCTATGCAGATAGTTTGTAAAGTAGTAATAGACTATTTTATAAGCCATTTGTGGTTCAAGAAACATATTATGATTTGTTGTAATAATTGAACTAGAAATCATCTAAACTTTTTGGTGAGGACAAAAGAGAAGTGAATCTATGTTGGATTACATGGAGGAGGAGGTAGTATCAGATGATTATTGTATTTCACGTGACAATCCCACCCACTACACTATGCACGTTACAATCCCACCTAGATTGTCGGGGCATCCATCTAGAGTGCGGTGTGCTTTGCCTTAAATTGATTTCTCCCATTCAAAAGGTGGATTGGAAGAGTTCGAATAATTGAATTCTCTCCCAATCTTTCGGTTTCACTCCTAGCATTTTGTGTTTCTAAAGAATGGAAAAATCATTACACTAGAGTATTCAAATTCAGTTCATCATTTAAATTTAATGGATTCAAATTTTAACATATTCAGACTGTTTAATAATAAAAAATTGAACATCTGAATTAATTAAGTGATACTGAATTTTCTAGAAAAAAACTTATTCTCAATATTAAGTGATAAGCTATTCACTTATCACTGAATGTGATATACACTCAAATGTATTAAATTTAATATTTAACAATTCAATAATTTAATAAATTTAAATTTCAGATCTCAAACTTCAGTTTTCAGACTTCAATTTTATCAAATTCACCCTTAGTCATCAGACT